CGTGTGGTGGAGTTCAGCTATTTAGGGGAACGTGCTTTGGACATGGTGCTCCAGGATGCTGACAGTCCAGCAGCCAGCTGGAATAGAGGTGTGATTTAGGACAGACAGACACGGACTGACCAGCTTGTACTCAGTACCTGTGCATGACTGTGGAAAGCCATGGGGGATACATAAAGGGGATTCAGTTCTCTTCCTTACCTTAGGACTTCCAGGCAATTTGGGCAAGGCTCAGCTTGTGTTTGGTAAAATGTTTCCTGATAGTCATGTGAAACGCCTCTAGGGAGGTAGATTGTTGCCCATGGTGTTGGACAGTGAAAGGAGGAACCTCCTGTGGCTGAGCAGATGGGCAGAAGCAGAGGGCTGCCCACAAAAGCCAAGCAAATGAAACTGTCCACCACTGACCCACATTGCAGAAACGCAGTGAGTGTTCACTTCCATGCGAGCATCCTGACTGCCCAAGGTGGAGGTGAAGGGGCTGCCAGTACAGCCCCGTTGGTGGAGGTGTCACCAGCTGGGAGCTAACCCTCAGAATTGGCCTTAAGTGCTCTGCTCTTGTGACAACAGCCTCAAACTCACCTTTGCCTTAGGGGCTGTCTTGCCAAGTAAGCGGATTAAACCTCCGTGTTGCAGCATGACCCAAAGTTATGTCCCAAGGCTGTTTTGTGACTTGGCAATAAAAGGAATTTGCTGGTAGAAATGCATAACTCTATTTACATCTTGCACAGTAACAAACCCCACCTGCAGATGGAAATGTGGTCTGAAAGAAAGGTGGTATTCAATGGTTAATCTGACCTTAGACTGGGATTGTGTTGTTCCCATCCCTTTCCACCATTCCTGCACTACAAGGCTTTGGCAGGGATCATAAAGCAGTCCCTCTTCTTAAGGATTTGGTTGTTCCCATCTCTGACACCTGAGGTGGCTGCAATCAAATCTGGTTACTGCTATGCTTTTGAACATGAAAAAAGGTAATTGAGAAAGAGGGGCTAGAGGAGCAGTGTGGAAATCTGTATGGGTATTTATAGGTTCTTGCAGAGCCAGATAGATGCTTGAATGTATCCAAGGCCTCCAGCACCCACTGAGGTGGCTGGAGGAAGAGACCCATTTTGTAAAGACAGCTCACACGGTGTTAGTGCTGGATCATGGACAGAACTCACATGGGGAAGTGGAACCAAACTTCTTGTTGTGCCAGGTGAGCTGTCTCCTCTCTGTGTTCAGATGGACTCAACAGAGACAATCCTGTGGTCTAGCTTCACAGATAACAGTGTAGTGGCTTTGGGGAGCAATTTGGGATGGATTTAGTATTCCCCTCAAAGAAGTGGTTGACTTCCTATCTAAGCAATGTGCACGAGGAAAGGCTCCATCCCAGGGAAAGGAAGCAAGGGAAAACTTATGAAAAACAATTAAATTTTTTCCTCCTTTGGAAGCTGTGACTATGTACTGACACCTAAGAGCCTTTCCCAAGAATTTGAAGGAATGGGAAGCACTGCCACCCCTGTGCTGCCCCTGCTAGCCTAGGCATAGCTGGGTAAAGGCTTAGGGAGATGTGCTGCTTCTCAAGTGGTTCGCGAGGTTTTTGTTATGGGAGGAAATGCTGTGGGATTATAATAGCGGCTACGGCGAGCTGACTTTTGGCTCCGGGACCAGGCTGACCGTCCAACCCAGTGAGTGTGCATCTTTCCTGTGTTTGCTTTGTCCATAGTCCTTGGCTGTTCACCGTAGTGCCCTCTTAGGCATACTTACTCTGGGTCACATTGCAGGTGGGAAGGAGAACATGGGCAGTGTTTCATTTAATGCAGAGAATGTAATCAGGGGAGTCTCAGGGATACTGGACATGCACAAAACCTCCCACTTGGATGTGCAACTTGAAACGCAGTTTCAGGAACAGATTTCCCCATGCTCTGTGTAGCAGCACTTTTGGGCTGCACGGTCCCCCTGATACTGGAAAGCGTTCTCATGGGAGGGAGGTGTCACTGATAGCCTTAAAAATAAGAAAAGACAAAGGGAAACCCTGCACTGAAAAGTCCAAGTGAGCTGGGAATATTTTTCCCCTTGTCCAGGAAATGACACTGGACTCAAGCTTATTGTGTCAGGGAGCCTTGCTATGGCATGAATGCAGGTTCTTTCTGTTTGAGGCCATGTGCAGGGCTGATGCAGACATTTTTGTAATGAAATGTGTCACAGTGTGAGTAGTGCAGACCAAGTCACTTTTGGAAAGGGAATGGAGCTTTTGGTGATACCAGGTAAGCAGCAACTTGTCCTGGAAACTGGAATTGCTGAATTTTTATCTTGCTTTTAGTAGTTATATGGAGACCAATCGTGGAAGGGAATTGTGCAGGTCTCCAGGTGTCCCTTGGACTTGCTTTTCCTGCATGTCCCTTTGCCTTGTGCTTCTGTGCTGTCTGTTATGTCTGTTATCAAAGATTCTGTAGAAGCCTGTTCCCAATTCCCTCTTCTGCCTGGGCACTCATGGATGTATGCGTTGTTGAGAACTGATACCCCAGCAAAGGATGGAGGCAGGTCCCGTCCATACTAAAGTTGTTCCAGTGGTCCTTCTGTTCTAGTGTCCCTGTATCCCTGCACTGTTCGTGTTGTGGTGGAAAGCAGAGTGTGAGCAATGGTGCTTACCACAAAGGCACCTTTGGGACGGGACAAGGCTCTTTGTGTTGCCCAGAAAGTGCTTGCTGAGCAAGCCAAGACTGCCTGACGCTTTTCAGGCTTGGTGAGCTCTATGGAACATGCACCACCTGACTGGTTTTTGATCAACCTGGGGTAGATTTCCCACTCTAACAACAATCCAGGGGAAAAGCTGAAGGAACTGTGGGGACAGGGGAAGGAAGTTGAGGAGTGCCCCTTAGTTCTGTCCCCAGCCTTGGACTCATCCCACATGGGCATTGTGGCAACCTCTGCTCCTGCCCTGGGATCCTTCAGTCTCTTGTCACCCTTCTGCTGCCTCTCCTACAAGGCCTGGCTGGGCAGAGCCCTGGGGACAGATGCTGCTCTTTCAAGCAGCTTGCTGGGCTTTTTGTTATGGAAGGAAATGCTGTGTGATTATGGCAGCAGCTACAGCCAGCTGACGTTTGGCTCAGGGACCAGACTGTCTGTCCAGCCCTGTAAGTGTGCAGCTTTTCTTTGTGCCTTTTGCCAAAAGCCCCTTAGGGTGCCTTGCAGATAAACTTGTTCTATCGAGCTCACCTTTCCTAGGGAAGGAGAACAGCGGTGCTATTTCCAGGCAGACAATGAAGAGGAGTCTCTCAGATGGTGTATTCATGAAATCCCCCCTCGTGTAACTGAAGGCAGAAACAGCAGTCCTCCAAAATGGAATTTGTAAGCACAGGTTTAACAGTGCTCTTGATCCAAGAGCCAGATTAAGGAGGGAGTCCCAGCTGAAGATGGAGCTCACCCTAGACTGGGATTGTGTTGTTATTCCCATCCCTTTTTGCCCTTCCTGTAGAACAAGCCTCTGGAAGAAAAATTGCCTACTGGGAGCAATCAAATCTGGTTCCTCCAGCACCCACTGAGGAGGCTAGGATCATAAAGGGCTGCAATAAATTGTTCCTTGATACTTTGGGAGTAGGGTGCTCCCACCTCTGATACCTGAGGTGGCTGCAATCAAATCTGGTTCCTCCTATGTCCTTGAAAATGGAAAAAGCTGTTTGAGAAAGAGGGGCTAGAGGAGTAGTGTGGAAATCTGTATGGGTATTTGTAGGTTCTTGCAGAGCCAGAGTGATGAAAGAGTACTGGAGGATGGAATGCACTCACATGGGGAAGTGGAACCAAACTTCTTGTTGGCTATGGATTTAGTATTCCCCTCAAAGAAGTGGTTGACTTCCTATCTAAGCAATGTGGACCAGGAAAGGCTCCATGCCAGGGAAAGGAGCAAGTGTACTCACATCCAAGAGCCTTTCCCAAGAATCTGAGTGACTGGGAAGCACTGCCACCCTTCTGCTGCCCCTCCTAGCCTAGGCATAGCTGGACAAAGGCTTGGGGACATGTGCTGCTTCTAAAAGTGGCTTGCGGGGTTTTTGTTATGAGCCAGATGATGCTGTGTGAAATGTGGCATCAACCTGTCCAGGGACCAGACTGTCTGTCCAGCCCTGGCCTCTGTGTGCACCCACTCACCTTTCCTAGGGAAGGAGAACAGAGTGAGGCAGATGGTGTATTCATGAAATCCCCCCTCGTGTAACTGAAGGCAGAAACAAGAGACCCATTCTTGACCCAAGAGCCAGATTAAGGAGACAGCTCACATGGTGTTAGTGCTGGATCATGGACAGAACTCACATGGGGAAGTGGAACCAAACTTCTTGTTGTGCCAGGTGAGCTGTCTCCTCTCTGTGTTCAGATGGACTCAACACCGACAATCCTGTGGTCTAGCTTCACAAATAACAGTGTAGTGGCTTTGGGGAGCAATTTGGGATGGATTTAGTATTCCCCTCAAAGAAGTGGTTGACTTCCTATCTAAGCAATGTGCACGAGGAAAGGCTCCATGCCAGGGAAAGGAAGCAAGGGAAAACTTGTGAAAAGAAATTAAATTCCTTCCTCCTTTGGAAGCTGTGAATATATACTGACATCCAAGAGCATTGCCCAAGAATCTGAGTGAGTGGGAAGCACTGCCACCCTTCTGCTGCCCCTGCTAGCCCAGGCATAGCTGGACAAAGGCTTGGGGACATGTGCTGCTTCTAAAAGTGGCGTGCGGGGTTTTTGTTATGGAAGGAAATGCTGTGTGAATATTGGTAACACCTACGAGCTGACTTTTGGCTCCGGGACCAGGCTGACCGTCCAACCCAGTGAGTGTGCATCTTTCCTGTGTTTCCTTTGTCCATAGTCCTTGACTGTGCACCATAGTGCCCTCGTAGGCATAGTTACTCTGTCTGGGTCACGTTACAGGTGGGAGGGAGAACATGGGCACTGCTTACTTTAATCTGAGTGACTGGGAAGCACTGCCACCCTTCTGCTGCCCCTCCTAGCCTAGGCATAGCTGGGCAAAGGCTTGGGGACATGTGCTGCTTCAAAAGTGGCTTGGGGTTTTTGTTATGGAAGGAAATGCTGTGCGATTATAATAGCGGCAACTACGAGCTGACGTTTGGCTCAGGGACCAGACTGTCTGTCCAGCCCTGTAAGTGTGCAGCTTTTCTGTGTGTCTTTTGCCAAAAGCCCCTTAGGGTGCCTTGCAGATAAACTTGTTCTATCGAGCTCACCTTTCCTAGGGAAGGAGAACAGCGGTGCTATTTCCAGGCAGACAATGAAGAGGAGTCTCTCAGATGGTGTATTCATGAAATCCCCCCTCGTGTAACTGAAGGCAGAAACAGCAGTCCTCCAAAATGGAATTTGTAAGCACAGGTTTAACCGTGCTCATGACCCAAGAGCCAGATTAAGGAGGGAGTCCCAGCTGAAGATGGAGCTCACCCTAGACTGGGTTTGTGTTGTTATTCCCATCCCTTTTTTGTCATTCCTGTAAGAAAAAGCCTCTGGGGGAGGGATCATAAATTGTTCCTTGATACTTTGGGAGTAAGGTGCTCCCATCTCTAATACCTGAGCTGGCTGCAATCAAATCTGGTTCCTCCCATGTCCTTGAACATGAAAAAAGGTAATTGAGAAAGAGGGACTAGAGGAGTAGTGTGGAAATCTGTATGGGTATTTGTAGGTTCTTGCAGAGCCAGATAGATGCTTGAATGTATCCAAGGCCTCCAGCACCCACTGAGGAGGCTGGAGGAAGAGACCCATTTTGTAAAGACAGCTCACACGGTGTTAGTACTGGAGGATGGAATGCACTCACATGGGGAAGTGGAACCAAACTTCTTGTTGTGCCAGGTGAGCTGTCTCCTCTCTGTGTTTGGATGGACTCAACACAGACAATCCTGTGGTCTAGCTTCACAGATAACAGTGTAGTGGCTTTGGGGAGCAATTTGGGATGGATTTAGTATTCCCCTCAAAGAAGTGGTTGACTTGCTATCTAAGCAATGCACACGAGGAAAGGCTCCATCCCAGGGGAAAGAAGCAAGGGAAAACGTGTGAAGAGAAATTCTTTCCTTCTTTGAAAACTGTGACTATATGATCCAAGAGCCTTTCCCAAGAATCTGAGTGAGTGGGAAGCACTGCCACTCTTCTGCTGCTGCTGCCTATGCATGGCTCGGTGTAGGCTTAGGGAGATGTGCTGCTTCTCAAGTGGCTTGAGAGGCTTTTTGTTATGGAAGGAAATGCTGTGGGATTATGGGTCCACCTACAAGCTGACTTTTGGCTCCGGGACCAGGCTGACCGTCCAACCCAGTGAGTGTGCATCTTTCCTGTGTTTGCTTTGTCCATAGTCCTTGGCTGTTCACCGTAGTGCCCTCTTAGGCATACTTACTCTGGGTCACGTTACAGGTGGGAAGGAGAACATGGGCAGTGTTTCATTTAGTGCAGAGAATGTAATCAGAGGAGTCTCAGGGATACTGGACATGCACAAAACCTCGCACTTGGATGTGCAACTTGAAACGCAGTTTCAGGAACAGATTTCCCCATGCTCTGTGTAGCAGCACTTTTGGGCTGCACGGTCCCCCTGATACTGGAAAGCGTTCTCATGGGAGGGAGGTGTTACTGATAGCCTTAAAAATAAGAAAAGGCAAAGGGAAACTCTGTATGGAACAAGAACAAGGCTTTGGGTCAAGGGATCATAAAGCCTTCCCTGATTCTTAAGGAGCAGGGTGTTCCCATCTCTGATACCTGAGGTGGATGTAATGAAATCTGGTTGCTCCCATGCCTTTGAACATGAAAAAAACTAATTGAGAAAGAGAGGCTAGAGGGTGTGTGGACATCTGTATGGGTATTTATAGGTTCTTGCAGAGCCAGATAGATGCTTGAATGTATCCAAGGCCTCCAGCACCCACTGAGGTGGCTGGAGGAAGAGACCCATTTTGTAAAGACAGCTCACACGGTGTCAATATTGGAGGATGGAAAACACTCACGTGGGGAAGTGGAACCAAACTTCTTGTTGTGCCAGGTGAGCTGTCTCTATGTTCAGATGGACTCAACAAAGACAATCCTGTGGTCTAGCTTCACAAATAACTGTACTGGCTTAGGGGAGCTATTTGGGATGGTTTTAGTATTCCTTTTAAAGAAGTGGTAGACTTCCTCTCTAATCAGTGTGGACCAATGAAAAGCTCCATCCTGGGGAAAGTAAGTGAAAACTTGGGTAAACAAGTAAGTGAAATAGAAGAAGAGAGATGAGAAAGAAACTGTAGTAGCTTTTAATAAGTGGTGGTGGTTTGGATTTGTCAAGGATGGAGGTAGAAAGAGAATTGCCTTGTGGCTCTTCTTTGTGGCATGGAATGCCACATTTAATGAGGCTGTAGTGTGGGGAGGAAGAAAAATAAGCCATGGCCATGGAAGGAAGGTGTAATGCATTAGAAGTATGTCATGCAAAATGGTGGGATTTCCTTGAGGAATGTTACTCGGGCAGATTGGGGTGGATAGAAGTGTTATGCAGGTTTTTGCTATGGCAAACAACACAGTGTCTGTGAATAGCTACCAACTTACCTTTGGACGTGGGACCAGGCTCGTGGTGATACCAAGTAAGATTGCTGAGGTTTGGGACAGAGTTGTTGAGGGGGAAACTTCAGTCCCCCCAGGGCCAAGGTGAATGTTTGCTGGGAGAGCAGCGAGCTGCAGTTCAGAAGCTGTTCCCAAAACGTAGCACCGGCAAGCTCTTGGTTCCTGCAGTGTCTGCTGGATATTGCAGAGCCGCAGAGATGCTCTGCAGAGCAATGAATGGAGTTCCACCAGCTGTGGAGCTTTCCTGGGAGACAAGATGTAAAACTGACAGCTTGTGTTGGTGCACCATTCCGTGCCACTCTTCCAGGTGTGTGAACTTTGACGGGAAGAAATAAACTATGGAGTTTTCTGTGAGTATCTCTCACTGAGTATACCCCACTTGTAGTGGGGTAACTTGAGAAGTTCACATACCTGGAGAAATCAGCAGGTTAGTTCCTACTCTTAACAGTTTATGAAACTATTGGAAGGAAACCCATGACACAGAGCTGGCTTAGACAATGTCACAGGCATGAAGCTACTCCTAGTGGCACAGTACCTCTAACCATGCAGGGCCCATAAAAGACCTCTGGCAGACCTTTTGGAACTTCCACTGGGGACAGCCATCACTAAAGTGCTCATTAAGTCACTGGTGTTGCACCTCTGGGGTCAAGATTAGCCTGTATGAGTGTGTAAGGAGGTGTATTTCCTCTGAGTTGGGCAGCAGCTTCAGGTTAACTCTAGTTGTGGGATTTCATGTCTCAGGCTGAAGAACGGGAAGAGGATCTAATCTCTGTCACACCAGTTCCGGTCTGACCAGAGATACAGAAAGTTCGCTTTGGAGGGAGTGGAGAATGATGTAAATCTGCATAATACAAGCTGTGTGCTAAAGCAGCTCAGGATTTCTACTGCAGCTTGTTTGGAAAAAAGGCATAGGTTTCAGTGTGATGTTGGAACAATCTTCTACTGCTTTCTCCCTGAAATCAGTCTCCAGAGTGGGCTTTCTCTGTAGAGTGGGTAGGAATAGCATTCTAAGAGCTCTTGTTCTTCCATCTGGAAGATATCCTCCAGTAAAGATGAAATTAGGCTTGGTGGACAGCTCAGAGTATCATGATTTCCTTCTCAGTCTTTCCTACAAGAAGAGGTCACAAATAGCGATACAGCACCTCCAATGCATCCGCCAACTCATTCAGATGGAATAACAGGAAGCACAGGTCACAGCGCTGTGGTTATCATAGATGGCATTTACCAAGACTAGCTGAAAACTTTCATAAGGTGCAAATATGCAAAGGACCTTATCGGAAAAAGACTCTAGTACCAGAACAAAGGCAGCAGCCACTCTGAGTAAGAATGAGTACTTTGCAAAATAGGTGCTGCTGAAGCTGCCTGCAAAAGCATTGCACAGATTGAAAGGGAGAAAACCACAGTAATTTGGAGAGAGCTGGATCTGTAGCTCTTCAGAAAGCATGATACTCATTATGAGAGAGAAGCAGAACAGCTCCATCAATTCCTCCTTCTTATTTCTTTCATATATATGTACTCCGTGACAATGATGTACCCTGGTTCATCTCTATTTTATACAGGGATCTACCATAAAGCTTTCTATCTGCTCGTGTCTTCCTTTCCCTAACAAGCATCACTGAAATCTATTTCCAAACCAATAACTGGGAGGATGGGAGTTGGGAACGGTGTTGAAGGAGTCAGAATATATATTAGCCTGTATTCTGCACAGGTGGGAAAGAGGAAGCCTCATTAACTTCCTCAAAGCCAGGGTAAAACTAGGATAGATAGAGAGCAGTTCAGTAGAAGGGCCAGAGAAGGAATACTTAAGCTTTGTGGATTAGGCTTTTTTCTGACATCATGCTAATAAAGAAGCAGGCTATTTTCTTTAAGGTGCTGACAACTAATGAAAAGCATTTATCTCAGTGACAGGGTAGGGGCTACACTTGCATAAGGGTTTGAGACGGTTTCTAAAAGCCAAGATTGAGTTCAGATTTCTTCCATGGGAATAAATTGAAACTTCTTCATCTGGGAGCTAAGTACTCCTTGGTATTTCTACAGTATTTAGCAGTGTGGTGTGTGAACAGGCACAAAGCAAATACTAATCTAAACTCTCAGCCCTACAAGATAAGAGTTGTGAACAGTAAGCCTTCAATGATATTTCATCTGTTCATCATTAGAGTAATGCAATGCCCATCACATTTTACTATTACTCATGAGCAAAGATTTAGGAAAGCACCTTCTCAAAGAATCAGACTTCAAGAGCTAGACCAGATGAAATGTATGCTGAGGGTACCAGTTTACAAAGCTAAATGTGCCAAAGAGAGTTTAACCACAGGTCATGTTTTGATATGTGTGGAAAATCCTAGTCTAACTGACTTGCTAGCAGAATTTGAAGCAAGAAAACAGAAATAAACCCCAGGTGTCTTAGTCTTCTATCTGCAGCCTTCAGTTCCCCACACCCTTCTTCTTCGAGGGAAAATGTAGTAAAAAATCTTGTCCTGCACGGTCAAGTAGAGGAACATGATGAAACATTCATTGGTTTCATCTTTCTTTCCCTAAAAGCAGCAGGAAGTATGACTGTGTATTCTCATCTAATGTCTCTTCTTCTTTTTCAGACATTACTCCATCTCCTTCAGTCTACAGGCTGACCTCTAAAGATGATGAGAATGTGGAAATGTGCCTTATCACAGATCATTCCCCTGAAAAGCTTACTCTTAACTGGGCTGATAAGGTGACAAATACTGTTGTGGAGGTGACAACACCTGAGAACAAACAGGAAGCCAGCTACCTGTCAACCTACTGGGGCAAGAAAGATGAAATGCTGTGTGGTGCAAATCACGAGGGATTTGGAGCACTGGAGGGGGAAGATCCTGAAAGTGGTAATGGCATTGTTGCATGTCTGTACAGGGTTAGTGGTACTCTGGTCTCTGTGCTAGTGGTATGATCAGGACTCACATCTCCCAACCCTGCAAGCTGCATTATGCTCCCAGACTCTAGAGGAATGTTGACTTGTTGCCTCTGTTCCCCCTTGCTGGAAACAAGATTAAGGGCTGGTAGACTGGTACCGTCACAGCAAAGAGCTCTTAAAATCACACTGTGGAGCATATAAAGCTTGAAATTCCTCTGTCTAATGGAACACTAAAGTTTAATTGGATCATGTTTTATGCTTGCCCTGAAACCAGCAGAAATGTGTTTCTGGGAGGGTTTACTAGCCAGAAACTCTAATCCAGCCAGTGCAGATTTCTCTTTATGAACTTCCAAGCAAGTACATTTCTGTTATTAATTACATTTATTGCTATTTTTTGCAGGTTCCAGTGCTCTTTGTGTTACAGGAATGTCTCTACAATTCAGGACAGGTATGTACACAGCATTTGAGGGGTAAAGCTTGTCCTGATTAAAGGAAATGGCTTCCCAAGTTTTGGTTAATGTTTCCTGTTTGCAGAACTCCTGTTGGAGCAAAAAGCTGACTGGAAACTTCTGAAAGAGCCCCAGAGGCTTTAAATGTCAAAGCTGGAAGTCATTGGGTTAATGTAGTCTTCCAGGTCTGAGCTGGTAATTTGGTGTAGCATGTGCCTACATGCCCTTGCTAAGACCAGCCAAACACTGCTCCCCATCCTGTAATGACTGAAAGTACCAATATGAGTCAGCCTTACTGGATGCCTGTCTGCATTTCAGACTTCAAAAGAGTTAGTTTTATTTTGGGGTACACAAACACCTGATGAACTAAAAGATAAGCACGTGGTTTCTGCAGTGTGTGCTCAGAAGCAGGGTTGCACTAAAGATATGGTGCCTCTGAGAAAGCTTTCCTTCAGCTCATGGCTGTGGGAGTATACTAGCCAGTGCTGGGGCCCAGGCAATTGCTGCTCCTGCTAGTTCAAAGGAGCTGACCTGCATCTGCTCTTGCCCTGTTTGCAGAATAGCTATGCTTTTGCAAACCTTGCTCAAAAGAACCCAGTTAGCCAAATGTTTCCAAAACACCACTGCAGAGAAACACCCACCAGTAAACTTGGCTGATTTGATCAGTCTTTTCACAGGGTGTGATAAACATAAAATGACTATTTGATGACAGCTCCCTGCTTCCCCAATATAGAGCAATGTATTTGCAAATGAAAATGGCTTTGTAACTTGAGCTTAATAGAAATTCCAAGTAGCCTTTGTGTTCTTTGAATCAAATTAAACTTGTTATCCCCATGCCTATCTTAAAAAACTTCATGGAGAAGAAAGAGGGATGCCTCCAGCATCCTGAGTTTATAAAACACTTCATTTAAAGCCAGCTAGATGGTTGGCAGACTTGCATATTGCATGAGTAAATGGTTATTGAATGAAAACCTGGCCCTTGAAACACCAATTGAAAGAAATTAAAGTGTGAGACAGTCCCACTCACTGTCTCAGGAGCTACCCTATTAGATGGCTCAGTCATACAAAGCAGAACAGCTTCATTAAGAGTGCTTGTAAGTCTTTCTGGAAGCGAGGATGTCTCAGTGCTCTTGTGACTTTCATCCTCCGTTCCTTTTACAGATGAGAACCTGAACACGATGTCTTTATCACAGCTGGGTCTGAAAATAATTTTAATGAAAGGAATAATTTTTAACGTCCTGATGACGATACTCGTGTGGAAAAAAAAGTGAGTATGCATGGGGGGGGTGGCAAGGCCTCTGATAGAAAACAGCTGCATCAGTTCATTAGCTGTGAGTGTTCCTTCTCTCTGTAGTAAGTGTTTATGCAGTCTATGCATACACCTTTCTGTATACCAACAGTAAAATCCCTCCACTCCTTTGGCCGTATCATTGCTTTTGCCCACCCCTGAAGTCCATTTACTTTTCCTTATCCACATGCAAATTTAACTTTTTCCTTCTTTCTAGATATCCCTCCCTTCTATTTCTGCATCCCTCTCTTGTCTGCATTCATCCATTCAATTCATCCCCTGACCAGTCTCCAGCTGGGAATGTTTGATGCTTACTGACTTTAAGACCTTACACCTGATATACTAGCTTTGGTCTAGTGTCTCTCCTCCTTCTATTGCCTAGACACTTCAGGTCTGCAATCTTGTCGCTGTATCCCAAATAATGATATAACACACCTTTATTTTGTTACAGGAATGAAAGTAACTAGATGGTGCAGTCCTGAAGTATCAAAAAAGTCTGCTGAGGAACCTTTACCAGAGCACCATCTGCAAGAGGGCACACAAGCATTCCTATTGAAAGAGATATCACTTGCTATCTGTGTATCAGCCAGTCATTATAATCTAAATTGCTTTATTTGCATTGTTTCAAAGCTACTCAAACCTAAGCTTAAAATTTCCAGCATTCTCCTCCCCCAGATGCCTGATTCATTTAGCACGACAATGCCTCTTTTTGCATAAAGCACAGTTTGGCATAACTATAAATTACCAAATATCACACTTACCTACTGGTGTTAAAATGACATCCGATTTCTGTTGTTTGGAGGTGGTGTTTGTTGAAATCTGCAAGTTAAATATTACCTGAATGTGAATTTTTCATATTTTGGTAGCTTTCAGGTATGCACCTCTTAGGGTTCAGTTAGTTTCAGTTGCAACAGTTTGAAAAGCAAAGGGAGAGTTACTCGGGTCACCCAAAAGTCCTGAATTCAATGAACTTCTCACTTCATTATCACAGAACAAAAGAATGAGCTTTAGTACTTTTTGGGGTCTATCTGGCCTTAACATTTTCTGAATTTAAATCAGCTGAAGATTTGGCTTTGCATTTAGTAAAAATACAAACTACTTTTGTTCTTTTTCTTTAGTTCTAATCTTTGACATGGTCTGGTGGAGGTGTCCCATGCCCATGGAACTAGATGATCTTGAGGTTCTTTCCAACCCAAACATTCTAGGATTCTATGATTTTATGATCTTGGATTTCCCAATGTATTTTCATAATCATTGCATAAAACCACACTGAAATATTTTCCTGCCCATGTCTCTGCTCCTTGGAAACACTGCATGCATGTAAAAATCACATGCTGCTATTGGTTGAATTGTATTGGCAACGACATTGATGTCTTTGGCATTTCTTTGGGCCTTTGGCTGCTATTAAACAGTTCTTATCAAAAATAAGAAACTTGTTTGTCTTTTGTGTCTGTAGTTTGAGGCACTTGTTTCACCCTTCCAATGAGCTTTAGGAATGAGCCTGGCCTTTAGGGCGAAGGAGGGAAAGGGCAGCAGACTCTTCCCTTCAGCCTGACTTGGCCACCAAGGACTAGGGGGATCCACTGCAGGGATCTACAGAGTCTCTTCCCAGAACATCCTTGCTGTGTCTGGGTAAGAAGAAGCTTGGAGGGTGGGGAATGGTGGAAAGCAGCTCTCCTCCAAGGGTAGAGTTTGCGCTATGTGAAGACAAAGGTAAAATATGGCTTGCCCACAGTAAGGGGAGTAGTCCAGGCTCTTGAAGGCAGATACCTACTGCTATGGAGAACACAGAAAGCTAAAGTGTCCTACCTCTGAATGTTCCCCACTCCCAAGCATCACTGGAGAATAAGGTCCCTGCTTTGCATTAATGACACCAACTGTCCAGACTGTGTCTCCAGGCTCAGACTGCTACTGGCAAGCTGCATTTGGAGGGAGAAATGAGAAGGGTGCTCTGTAAGAAACACAGCCTTTCCTGCAAAGCCTGAACCTTGCTCACACCTCACACCAGGGTCCAAACTGAGTGGCAGGGAAGGCCTTGCTGGATGATGGGGGTGATTCTCCCTCCCTGGGTATTTCTCACCCTGCTGGATTCACAGCAATTGCAAGGAACTTTGATTTTGAAAAGGCTCATGCTTCAAATGCTTTTAGACAAAAGCCCTGGTGCTTCACGTGGGAGACGGCCCTGTGTGGAAACCAGGCCAGCATTCCTGCCACAGCACAATAGTCTTCCTGGTCTCCTGCCACAGTGCTGCCACCTGACAATTTAGCAGGTCACAGGGTGACAGAGTTACTGACCTCTTCAAACTTTCTGGGTACAGATGCTCAGGGATTCATTCTCTTGCCTCTCCCTTGAAACAACAGCCACTCATTTCTCTCCAGCTCTTTAAATATGAGATTTCAGGCAGCTCTTGAAGCTTACATTTTGCTCATGATGAGATCTGTCACGTCACTTGATGAAGCTGCCTAAACCAGATTTGAATTACAAAGCAAATCATTACATTTCACAGATTTCCAATGGAGTAATCACATTCCAGAAGCCTTCAGGGAAGGAGGGTTTCCATCCTCACTACTTTTATCCATCTGAAATGTTTTGTGTTGCACTTCAACCCTGCACCTAGCTGTATGGTCAAAGAGGAACAGTGTGCTGCCTCTTTTTCCACATCTCAGCCTTTTCCAGGTTCAATGACTCCAGTAATATGATTTGCCAAGTGAGGAATGGGTGTATAGATAAATGTTTTGACTGAAGTGACTCTTAGTACACGATCTGCAAAACACTGAATTTGTAGGTCTAGTTTAAATATACTTTAGAGATATTAGTGGAGATATCATCACCACTTTGCTCTTTCTTGTTTATTTCAAGAAAGAAAGCCTGCAGTGCAAAGCAAAGGCAGGAAACAACACAGTAGGGCAGGATGTGGAAGGGGTCTGATAGCCCAGGTGGGGCAGGAAGAGGCTGCACCACCAGTTCCATGATGCCACAAACAAGATCTGGGTCACCTTTTGCTGCTCTTCTACACTCAACCACATAAACCACTTCCTCTGGAAAGTGGAGCACAAAACGGGGGGCGAGGGGAGCAGGGCTGGTGTGACACGTGGCAGGGAGGAGGAGATGCGTGTGGAAAAGAACAGCAGACGTTAGGCCACAAGCCAATATTGAATGAGGTTAAGGCACCCTCCCTTCCTGCCCCTTCCCCACAGCCTGGTGCTCTTAGTTCTGGGGGGAAGTTGTTCTGGGCATGGCAGGAAAGATTGAGCTATCTATAGCGTGGGCCGGGTAAACGAGGGGAAAAAATACATTATAAAGCATGGTAAGGGGTGGGGAAGAGATCTTAGAACTGTGAATTTGCTGATAGGCCTCTGCACCCTGTTATACAGTCAGTGAATCTGTGCAGGAAAATCCTTTCACTTCTCACTCAAAAGAGAAGGGAGGAAGATGGGGCAGGCCAGAGTCCTCTCACATTAGCAAGGAAGGAGATACCTCTCACATTAGCAAGGAAGGAGATACCACCCTCTTCCCAACACCAGCTCCTGTCCCTTAATACCTAGTTATGGGTAGGAGGTGAATTTGCATCCTTTCTAGGGTTTTGCTGGAGAAAAGACCCTGACATCTGCCACCAAAGTATGGTCTATGTAAGGAGCAAAGCTTCAAGTTATCTACAGACTTGTGAAAACTTAATCACATGTGGAAGTAGCTCTAATGGGACCTGCATTCTAGTGCTGAGTTCATGGCAACTAGTGGCATTGCAAGCTGGTAAAAATTAGCTGGGGGGGAAGGAACCCTACAGAATCCCCACTTTTTCCCCTTTTCCACAGGCTCCATGTAGTCCTTAAGCAGAAGTGGCCATAGAAGAGTCCTTGAGTCACGCAAACCACAGGGAGGCACTAGCAGCTCACAAACAGCAGTGGCAAAGGGGAGAGCCGGAGCTGCTCTGCCTCTTGTGGACATGGGGCTCTGCTTTGCTTCCTGTGGACACGCTGGCTCTGCTCCGCCTGACTGAGGGCCTCTCTTATGGGAAAGAGCGCGGTGGCTCATTTACAAGACCTGCCTGCTGTCATGTTCCCTGCCTGCTCCCCAGCAGTACAAACCCAGCTTAATGCCTGGGGCTGGAGGGAGATGGTGCTGTCAGAGCTGGCATGAATTCTCTTTTCCTACCAGACCCAGAGAGCATCCTTCGTGACAGTAAAGACCCAGCTCCCTCATACCTCATTCTTCAGAGCCTATAATAGGCAAGAGACTTAGGAGCCCCAGGTTTCACACTTTTACAGGTTTAATGGCTGCAGCACATCTGGAAATGCTAGAAGGGAAAAGGTGGTGAAGAGAAGCCATAATCTAACACTGAGGCTGAAGCTATCAGATCCCATATCCCATATCAGATCTCCCGAGTGCCAGCAGACAAACATTTCTTTTCACATTGCCTCAACATATATTTTACCTATCCAGTGCTTCTGCTGCAGAGCAAACTGGACAAGCCTGAAGCAAGGATAGAGCCTCATGCATGAAGGCAACACCAGTAAATTCTCTAGTCAAAGGTTTGGAGGGGCAGGAAATAGGAAGATGAAAAGAGTGGATGACAACCGAGTTTCCATGACTTGTTTCCTGCTTCCCTCTGAAACTGGGGCACAGAAAAAAGCCTGCTGGGTAGAATAGGAGGGAGAGATGTAAACGGCAGGGAGCTGTGCCTGAGAGGGAACTTAGGTGTCAGAAGAACTTCTGTACTGATCAGCAATAGGGAAAAGACTGCAGTATCATAAAGGTTTTTATTGACAGAAAGGATTACAGTCACTGTAACAAGGCAGCAGACCCCTCCATAGGGCAGTCTGAGGGAAAGAAATCTTGAGCCCTGTGTCTCCTTCCTCCACCAAGGAAGTAGGTAAGACTCTGCTGGGGAACAGCACTTCCCAATGCCAAGTTTGACATCAGAGCTCAAGACCTGGTAGGAAAGAAAGAAATAAAGGCAATGTGAGCAAGGCTTCTGCAATGGGAGAGGAAATACCCCACAGGCCCCAATGATCTTATAGCCCCTTGCAACAGTAACAACAGGGCACATCCTCCATTTTCCAGCACCAAACTCCCTGATCTCATCTGCTGAGAAACTCCAGACTTAAGACGCCAGCCATTCCATGGCCTCCAAATAGGATAATCCTCACCCAAAGAGCCCAGGACTTCCAGCTTCCAAAGCCTCTCTTTCAAAGAACAGCGTATTTATCTCATAAGAGAGAAACATGAGCGAGCCTACATAATACTCTTAGTTAAACTGCTTTCTAAATGATTAAAGCCAAAAAAAAAAAAGTACACGCATGAAACCAGAAAGCCATAAATCCTAACCCAGAAGCTTTACTGTACTTGGCCAAGACAAAGCTGGGAGCTAGGCCTTCTGGATTCACTATCTTTCTAGTTCTCTCCCAGGGACAGAAGTACTGCAGTCCTGTGACCTGCGGTTCCCCCTTTTGTGACCACATGGATCAGTACCTTAGAGTCTCTTCTAGGCTCAGCCAACAAAATTGATGACGACGAGATGGAGGATGGTGTTGGCAAAGAGGAAATCAGCAAACGCCCGCTCTGGTGAAATGCCTTGGAACTCGCCTTTGTTCTGGGGGTTGATCTGGATCCGGAGGCAGACTGTGTGGTAGAGAAGGAATAAGAGATTAGTGACCAGAAAAAGAAGCACAGTTGTCCTGGGGCAGCCCACTCCAGTCTAGGTCACCGTTCCAGCTGGGTACCAAAAGAAAAGGTATCTCCATCTTTACTGTAAGATGAACAGGGCACTGGCAATGGATTTGCGCAGGGCTTTTATACAACCAATTCTGCCACAGCACTACACCATCAGGGGGGCCAAGCGAATCTGAAGAACAGGCTTAGATGGGACTAGTGTAAACGCAGGGATATCTCTATGTCCTCCACTGGGTGTGTTGAGGAGGGCTGCACCAGTGCAAGGTGGTTTGGGGGCAAATGCAGGGATATCTCTATGTCCTCCACTGGGTGCATTGGCGAGGGTTGCACAGACACAAGGTGGTTTTGGGGTGAACACAGGGATATCTCTGTGTCCTCCACTGGGTGCGTTGAGGAGGGTTGCACTGGTGCACGGTGGTTTTGGGGAGTATTATGGGTGAGCAATACCCTGAAAAAGTCGTTGGTAGAGCTGGAATTTCACCATGGGCACTACTAAATATAAAGTAGTAATAAGGAGGGCTCCTTGACTGCCAGGGAGGACACCCTGGGAGTGACATACGGGCAGGACCCCTGCAGGGTCACAGCTGCTGTGGGGCAGGAGCCAAGGGGCTTCCGGCAGCACAAGGGGGAGCGAGGGGTGTCGGAGGGTGCTATGGGACCTCCCCGACTGCCGGGTTGAGGGAATCCTACGTTTCCTACAAGGCAAACGGGCACTTCCAGGCACCGCTCTGACGGCCGGGGGGCTCCGGCTTTGCCGCGGAGGGGGTCCCGGTGAACACCGCGCGGGGCCACGGCGGGCACTGACCACCGAGGATGAAGCTGCCGACGGCGGAGATGAAGCCGCTGAGGAAGGAGTTGAAGGGGAAGGTGCCGACGCCGAGGCAGTAGCCGAACTGCAGCGCCCCGGTGAGCAGCACGTACAGGAGGTAGGCGTCCAGCACCTTGAGGCGGCTCGGCGTGCCGCTGCCGTACTCGGCCAGGAAACGCCGCACCACCGAGCCCACCGAGCCCGCGCCCGCCGCACCGGAGCCCGCCGCGCCCGACATGGTCCCGCCGGCCCGGCTGAGGTGGGCGGAAGCGGCTGCGAGCAGTGATTCCGGGCCGCGGCGGTACTGCGCAGGCGCAAGCCCAGCGCGCAGCCGTGCCGGAGGGTGCCGCGCAGGCGCGGGTCCGTCAAGGGGCGGAGCTGGGAGGCGCTGCCGGCGCAGTGCGCATGTGCGAGAGGCATGGCGCGGGGAGGGAGCGGGTCCCGGGTGGCCATGGGCGTGAGGCGAAGCTCAGCCCCCGATGCGATGGGCAAGGAGCGGCTGCAGCCGCCGCCAGCAAGGTCAAGCTGAAATAGGTTCAAGCTAAAAGGAGTCTAGAAAAAACCTTGGCAAGCCCTTACCTCTTGTTTGGCTGACCCAGAGCAGGGTTGTGCCCGTCAAGAGCAGCAGCAGAGCTTTGCTTAGTGTGGTACAATGCACAGCTCTCCAGGAAGGGACTCCTTTGGTGCCTCGATGCTGACTTCCCTGTCTTGACTTCCCTGGAGGGAAGCATCATAGGCCTAAGTACTGGGCAGGCATTAACCTCATGGTTTTGATCGCACAGAGCAGAGAAGGAGGGGGTTCAGTGCCTAATGTAAGGGAGGATGAGGTGCCACATTTAGGCCTGAATGTGTTTGGCTCCAGAGATGAGCCAGTGTGGTTGAGGATGGAGCCTGGCTTGTGGTTCATGAATGTGTCAGCAGTGGGTGTGATACGTGGATAGACTCCACAACTCATTAAAGTTGTGAAGTAGGTATGCTTTTATTCAGCGCATGGGGGATAGTTCCTCCAAAGGCATGCGTGCCTCAGTGTTGTTTCCCTCTACATTTATTCTCTAAAGTTGCACATATTCATAAGGTTGCACAATTCATGTCCTATCCACGCTTCGTATTTTAATGAGCTAGAAGATCCTTTGCGCCTGTGCAGTGCCCCCTCTGGTCATGGGCAGGAGTCTCAAGATGAAGTAAATGAGTCTTCCTCTTGTGAGTAGGGGTCTTCAAGATGAAGTAAATGAGTCTTCCTCGAGCCTGAACTTTTCACCTCTAGCCGTCATGCATGCTCTTTAGGAGTCTGGTCAAAGTCCAAACCACAAAGCTGGTCTTCACTGGAACTAAGTAACTGTTCCTTCCCCTTACCAGTCTGTTTCTCCCCCTTATCAATAGCCTATTGTCCTGGTACTGCATGGCAAGCTTGACAGGTATTTGCAAACAATGCTTTCTGTTAAAAAGGCAAAATTCCTTTATCCCCCCTTGCACAACTCCCTTGTATGACCCCCTTGTACAACCCCCCTGTACGTTGGTCAACCCTCTACATCAGGTGTTGCAGTCACAGCGTCTTCACCGATCGTTACGACTGAGCAGGACCTGTGCATCTCCAGGTTTGGAGAGGTGGGTCTACGGTGTTTCCATTCCACATGCCATGTATTTGGACTGCTGACTGAAAGGACCACCTTCCTGATAGCTGAGGATTGCTGTTTGACCTCTGTAGGGGAAGTTTGATGCAGTCTATGGATTGCTGTGCTGGCTGTAAGCAAAGTCTGTGAGGTTTTGCTCTGATGAGCCCTGGTGGGAAAACATTGTCCAGCGACATTTCTGGTCTTGCATCTCACACTGGGCTCTATTAAAACTCCAAGTAACTTTGCTTTCTGCTCTGTCTTCTCTCTGTCATTTCTTGAAGGCGCCTTGCCAGGTTTTGTTGTAGCTACAAACAACAGGAAGGTAGCACCACGTTCCTCAAGGGGCTCATTAAGCTGCTGACAGCCAAAACGAGTTCTGCATTCTGCCACTCCCCGTAGAGTTTTAAGCATTGTGTAGCTAATTAGGGAGCTCTGAGGTGTGTTTCAGTCACAAACAGCATCACTTTTGATTGTCATTCATCTTAATTATGCCTGACCCGAAGAATGGAAATGAAGACATTTTGAAAGGCAATGACTCTGGCTTATATCCTGGTGGGGATCAGACAGAGGGAGGAGAAGTGTCTTTGTGGTCAAGCAATGAGTGGCCAGAGTCCCAAGTTTGATTCATGTGCTGGCAATAAGAGTTCTTATTCTAGTCTGTTCTCTCATCACTGCCACCCACAGCAGTGTCAAAGGCTTTATGTGCAAAGCTTTTGCCTTCTCTAATTAGCACTGTCTTTACCTGTTGTACTCACTATGCACAGAAACAGGAGGCCTAGTTATCACCATTGGAAAAGAATTCCAGGGCCTTCTTTTCGTGAAAGAAATTAAAAATCTTAATTAAAAAAAAAAAAATCCTGTCTCTTACTGTGGTCCCCTTGAACTCCACTTTCCTCAGGACATGAACCCTGGAAAGAGCTGTCTCAATGGAGAGATGGAGAAGTGATAGAAATGTTAAGAGATGTGGTGGAAGGACCCTCCAGCTGATGTTCTCAGCAGGTTACAGGCACGAGCATGGCTGAAGACACAGCTGGGCCTGGTCATCACATGGCGACCTGATCATCCCATCTGTTCTTTACTTACCCAGTTGTCCACTCAGAGCACAATGTCCTAACCTAGAGAGAAGAGAGTGTCAAAGTCTTGCTAAAGTCAAGGTGAATGACAGCCACTGCTCCCCCCATCCATAGTGCCATACTTAGAGATGGCAATCACATTGGTCAGGCCTGGTTTACCCTTGGTAAAATGTTAACTGTTAACTGCATGTTAACTGTTCCACTCCCTTTCCTCTCCTTCATATGCTTTAATGTGCATTTCCAGAAGACTTGCTCCGGGAATTTTCCAGCCTTCTTAGAAAATGCCTGCTTCTCGTCTTTGCTGGCTTTCACTTTCACTTTTTCATTCCTGGGAGCCTGCCAGCATGACATCTCATTCAGGTTAATCTGCTTCCTGGGGCCCTTTTAACCACATACTGTCTGTTTTACCAGGAGATAAAGCAGAAAGCTGCAAACCGCTTTGCTTGCTGTGATGTATGAGAATGTGATATCAAAGGAGCACAGACCCAAACCGAGGTGTTTCAGACAACACCAAGCCACAGCACTGAATGATAAGGGTCCTTGCACTGTGTCGCTGTCCTTGGCTTTGGGCTTTGTCCAGGAGCAGGAGACACTGTCTTGCAATAGCCTCTGACCTGCAGTTTCTCTTATATGGCTTTGCCTTTAATTTTGGCCCCTTGTGGGCTGAGGAACTTTAGCACCGGCAGTCTGAGGGGACTTCTAACAGGATGCCAGCAAACATATTTAGGGGCTGTAGAAAAGATATTAGGGGATGGATAAAGGAAGGGTCAGAGGTGGGGAAATGGAAGGAGCAGGGTGGCCTGAGGAGAAACATGTGTGGGACTTCACTTCCTGATGGAAAACTGCAAACCCTGAGAAAACCAGCCACAGAATGAGATTAGAAATACCTGTGTTATCTTTAAGATACAGCCTAACCTCAGCTTTACCAGTGTCTGTGCCCTCTGTGGCCTGCAGCACAGTGTGCTTTAACTGTTGAAACCCTAGAGGAACATGGCAGCTCAGAGGTGGAAGATTGGTTAAACGTTGATTAAAGATTAAAGTTTTGTCTAAGTGCCAGCAAGCAGGGTCACTGGGCCCCATGTGGGCAGGAACTGGAGAGGCCAGCAGCCTGCATGGGAAGGGTAAGCGACTTGTGAAGCAGGTATTGAAGTGGCTGTAACATTTGTCCAGGTATCAGACATATTCCAGGGTTCAAAAGCAGGACCAGGCCAAACCCTGCAGAGCCCATGAGGTCTGGACATCACCTGAGAGGGCCATTTCTGTGTGTGTGGCTGTGTGCATGTGGCAAGTGAAGATGGGAGGATCCAAGGGGCAGCTACTGCATAGGGTATCTCAGCATGGTGCCTATGCAGCTACTGCGTGGGTATCTAAGGCTGGTTTCTGGGCATGTACATCACACATATGTGTTTGTGGATTTGTTTTTGTGTGTAAATGGGTCTGTGTGCCAGCAGCTGGAGCAGGGCTGGGGCCTCAGGGGCTTGCTTGCACCAGTGTCAACACCAAGGAGGGCAGTAGGTTGATGTGGGTGAGCCGGGAGGGGCTGTACCAGCAGTCCATGTCTCCTGGGGGGATGGTTTGGGGTTCATTTGTCAGGATTTTATTTTTGATTTGATTTTTTTTTTTTTTTTCCCTGCTAACCCTTCTTCATGAATTCTTTCTGCTTTTTTATCCCACTTTGACTTTTTGGAGAAAGCTTCCATCAAGAATGCAGTGTTTCTTTGGAAGATCCCCTGTGAAATTACGAGGAAAAGAAAATGATTTAGAAGCGCATCTTTATGAGAGTTGAAGGAAGGAATGACATGGAAATGTGCTCAAGTCTGTGATAACATCATCTGAGACAGCAGCTTTGATTGCTTGTACACATTTTCTTTAGGGGTTTGGACAGTATCCAGCACTAAGTCTTGGCTTGCACAAGCATCTCAGCATGGCTTTTCTCATCAGATTAAAATGACGTGGTTCCTTGAATTATATCAATCCCTTTGTTGCTTACCATTAAAGGCAGAATCTGTTCACAACACTGAGGGATTTTCCTGTTCTTCAACCAGTTTTGCACAAATTCGTGAGTTAAGCCGTTTGCAATTTACACTGGGGCACGGAGTTGAGGCAGGGCTTTAAGGTCCCTTCCAGCCCAAACCGTTCCGTGATTTCATGATGATGGCTCTATGATGTTGGCATACATTAATTAGTCCAATAAAAGGAGCTGCCACAAGAGTCCAGCAGCCAGTGCGCTTCCTTACATGACTCCTTTTGTCTCCTTTTCAAGAAAAAAGACAACTTTAGGTTCAGATGAGAAGTTTTCTAAAGGCTGATATTTCAGTTTCACATAATCATTGACAAGAGCTTGTTCATGCCTTATGAAAAATGCTGTATTTGTTCACTGCTGTCCTCAGAGCCTTCCTTATGTTGTTATTCCTTAAACTGTAGATGAGGGGATTGACCAGTGGAGTCAGAACCGTGTAGCAGACAGAGAACACTTTGTGGAGGTTCTCAGCCTGTTTGACTTTGGTACCAAGTACACAACCATCAAGGTCCCATAGAAAAGCGTCACCACAGTGAGGTGGGAAGAACAAGTAGAAAAAGCCTTATGCCTTCCTGCGGAGGATGGGATCCTGAGGACAGTGTTGCTGATGTACACATAAGATAGGAGTGTCAAGAGAAACAGGGGTAGTGTCAAAAGGGAGGCCAAGATGAATTCTACAAGCTCAATACAATGGCTATCGCTGCAGGAGAGCTTTACCACTGGTGTGAAGTCACAGAAGAAATGATCGATCTCATTTGGGCCACAGAACGTTAGCTGTGGCACCAGAGAGGTGGCTGTGGCACTAGCCAACAGCCCACTAGCCCAAGAGACACTTGCTAGCTGGAGGCAGCACCGGTTATTCATTATCGTTGTATAATGTAATGGTTTGCATATCGCGATGTACCGGTCATAAGACATGACAGTCAGGAGACAGCATTCTGCACCTGCTAGACCAGTGAAGAAAAAGTACTGCAAAAAGCAACCCTGAAGTGAAATAACGTACTTGTTTGTCAGGAAATTCGCCAGCATTCTGGGCAGGATGGTGGAAGTGTAACAGGTCTCCAAGAATGACAGATTCCCCAGGAAAAAGAACATGGGATTGTGAAGGTGATGATCAGTCACAACCAGCACCATGATCAGGAGGTTCCCTAACACAGTTGTAATGTAGATCACTAGAAACATCAAGAAGAGGATAAACTGTACTGCCGGGATACTTTGGAAACCTAGAATGATGAATTCCAGGACGGCTGTTTTATTCATTTGCTCTGTTCTCATGAGTGTAACAGTTACAGTAAAGTCTTTAACATAAAAACTTAATCTGCTTTTAAACTATTATTCAGATGTTGAAAAATAAAATAAAATAAAGGAAGTTGCTTTGCAGGCTTCATGTGAAATGAGAAGGATCTGTGCCTGGTACTGCACACTCTCAGTGAATGCCAGGGACCTGACTTTCTTTGGAGATTTGGAAAAGTCAATTTGCAGTGAGTATTTAGAGAATAATTTCTACACTCACAGGTATTTGCTTTGAATTTCGACCATAGATTGCATCTTGTGCAGTGGAAATGTTTAATTTTCTTGTGGCTTTCAGTTTCATTTCTTGAGATGCCGTTTTCCTGTAAGAGTCAAGTGTTTATTGACTGCAGCTTATCACGATTTCCCAAACATAAAACAACCATGTTTTGAGGCCAAGTAGATAGTAATGGAGGTAATAAAGTTTTCTCCTGTTACCAGCTTGGAAAGATAAAAGTATTTAATGTTCAGCGTTTACTGTATTTTCTGGTATATAAAGCTGGTTTTAAAGATATTCAGTGGGCACAAGTAAGTCCTGCTTATTGTTTGCTTTTATCTGAACCAAACCACCTCTTCTGTTCAGAGATCCTCGGAAAGATCAGCTGTGGCTAAGGAAAGTTAAAAAAAATCAATTTTATTACATGACGTACAAACATTTTTATTTTCAAAAACTTTTTTTTTTCTTGCCAGTATTGTATTAGCATCAGAATAATGACTCCTCTTTTTTATAGCCTTATTTTTTAAAAAGAAAGTTAATTTCAGTTCATTGAAAATGGTTCCTGGTATCTTTTTACCCTTTTTTTCTTCCTCATGAGTTTTATGAGAAATGGGGAAGAACTAAAATGACCTGTTTTTCTCTCTGCACGAGGCAGTTGAAAATGAAAGAGGTTTTTATGTTTTAAACCAGGATGTTTTCGTAAGGAAGGAAACTAAGAAAAGGCAAAGCGATGCAGAAAAGTATTGTAAATGCAGAAGTGTAAAATGACCTTTCCCACTCCTATCTGTTTCCCAAGAAACATCTAACACAGCTGTTCCTCTTTAATTTTTGGTCTTGAAATAACTTACCATGTTCACTCATTTCCCATTTCTTGGTGGATGGGTGTAGGTAGTGCAGAACATCACCAGGCTTTCACCATGTCATATTCAAAGACTGTTACGAAATCTTATGAGACTTTCCTTCTTCATCTTTTGTACAGTCCTTCTACCTGCTCAGTAAATAAGCCTCCCTATGCCTGGAAAGCTCTAGATTGATTCGTGATTCATGTAATTTTTCCCTTGGGGAAAAAAAAGCAAAACCTGGCATCTCCCTTCATCATTTGCAGAATAACTCCCTTAGCACTTCTCCTAGAGGCATTTAAAACTGGGGCTGTGGGAGGCTCTGAAGAGTAATGTTTCTTTTCAGACAATAAGAAAGTTTTAGAAGGTCAAAGAACTGCCTTGAGAGTAGAATGTTAAGGAGACAAAACACTTCTAACTTCCGTTTTTTTGCTACTTATTTGCCACTCCAGAATGGTGAGCATCTCATCCAGGTCCTCTGTCTTATCTACCAGACCTCTTCAATTGTCCCATGTCATAATCATAGAATCATAGAATAGTTAGGGTTAGAAATAATGTGTCTAAACTGGCAATAGCTGCCTTTGTAAGAAAATGAAACTCGCTATACCTATTTAGATCCTATGTATAGGCAACAGAGTGACAGACAGTGCAGGACGCAATTTCTTGACTGGCTGAACAGGCATACAGATGGCAGGGGATAGGAACTAGATGATATTTAAGGTCCCTTCCAACCCAAACCACTATATGATTCTATGAAATATATCTTATAGGCACTACTCAAAGTAGATATCTCAGTGTACAATTCACCTCCATAGAAAATGCCTCATGTTACCCATTTTCTACAGATGCCTGTGCCAGTACATGAAGCTCTAAGAACTCTCCTTCAGCCTTCTTGAGGAGTGGTTCAGGTCATTGTGTTTGGCATAATTTGCCTCTCAAGGAACAGAGCATCTCCACACAAGTCCATGTGCAACACAGATAAAAAGAGGATGAGCCCATTCTCTAGGACCATACAGCTACATGCAGCCTTTCTGAACGTGGTCATTCTCTGACTAACAAACCCTTCCTGTGAGAACATGAAGAAACTGAAGTGATACTGGGAAATAAAGGGTTAACATTGTGCCTGCTTGCTTAAGCAGTCGCTGTGCTTGGTGAAGCAGAACTGTAGGAGTCAAAGTTGCTAGAATGGTGAAGCAGAATTGCAGGAGTTACAGCTGCTAGGCAGAATTGCAGTAGGTAAGATTCATAGCTTAATATTTAAGACATTCTTGTTCAAACAGTACCTTTAGACAGAAAAGGAACAGAAGATAGCCAGGGTAACAAAATCTACAAACTTGGCAAGTTTCTGCTTTAAGATACATAAAACTGGCTTGTACCGAACCTGAGGTCTGCACAGGAGCCGAAACCCTACTGAGTCTGCGTGAAAGCAAGAGGTTACTCTCGGTGATGAAGAGGAACTACAGGCCTTCATCCTCATGACCCCCTAACGACCACCACCAGGAGGCACTGCGCAGGTGCACCAATGGGACGAATGCCAGAAAACTAATTATAATACTAGATGGGAATAGGTTTTGCATATGTATTAGGCGTGAAGCAATCTCACGTTTAGGTAATCATTATAAGGAATATAAACGAACTGAGCGGCAAAGGGGGGCGCGCATGCTTTTGGAGGAGAAGCCCCCATGCGCCTCAGCGCTGAATAAAGCATCCCTATGTTACAACTCTAACGAGTTGTGGAGTCAATCTGCGTATCAGTTTGGTGAGCCAGCCAGGAGACCTCTGCTCGGCTGCAGGATCAGGGGAGGAGTGGACATCCTAGGCATCCCAGGCTGCTTGCCTGGAGGAGCTCTGCTCCTCGTCCGCTCACTGCGGGGGCAGACAACAACCTCTGTGGACTGCGGAAAAACGGTATGCTTGGGATTTAGGTGTGTAATTTAGGGGGCCTATAAGTCGTATGCGTGGCCTGGGGCTGCTGGTAAGGTGTGCAGAGAAGTCTGGTGCACAGCGTAGTTCCCCTTGGCAGGTAGGGCTTGCAAGCAGGGGACTCGCTGACCGATAGAGCGGCTGCTAGCGATCTTGAGGGTGGATCGGGTGAGTCCAGGTTATCGCCACATCCCAGGGTTTTGGGAGCCAGGAAGGACCTGCTACTGGCTGAAGAGAAGTATAACCTCTAATATTTGTGGTCCTATTCTGGAGACCTGGACTTTACACTCAAAGAATTACAGCCTCACATATGGGTGCATAATAACTTAACCTCCCATGAGCCAGAGCAGGTAAGAAGAGGTGGAGAAAAGGAAAGGAAGAGCAGTAAATGGAAGGCTATAGGGAGAACTGTCAGGGGGAACAATGACTGCATATCATCCTCCTTCCGTGCTCTTTCTTAGTTTTGTAGTCTAGACAGTAAAAGAACATAGGTATGGCACATGTTTGGAAATGTTGTTAAAGTTTCCTTCTTTGGCATCCCCCGGAGCATTAGGGATGTTCTGAACCACTCATAAAGGTAAGAGCGATGGTTCTGTGCAGTCACACTCATTTACTCTCAACACTTACACTGCAAGCGAGGGACAACATCCTGTCCTGGGGCAAGGTAAAAGCAGCAAAGCCCAAACACCTCACTATCACCCAGAAAAAATAGGCTTATAGGAAAACCTGCCTCTTTTCAAGGGTGTTAAGTGATGTCTCTGCAAGGAAAATAAAACCTTTGAAAGACAGAGATGAACAGAATTCAGAAATAACTGGAAAAAGAAAAAATTCACCCCCATTTTCCCCATGGGAATACAGGAAATCACCTCATTCTCCAGCTAGATAATGTACAAACCTTATTAGTAAAAAGAGAAGATATTTGCCCTATGCTGTTTGCTACAAAAGCAAGTTATCAAGATGATAACTGCAACAATAGTAAGAAGTAATATCATTGCTGGTGTGACTGTTCAACAATGCAGGGAGAAAGAGAAACGAGAGTAAGAGAGGCATTTTAAAGATACGGAATCCACTAAGAGTCATTTCAGCTTACTCCTCTGTTAGGCACTTGTTGAAAGCAATAAGGTCCTGTTGAGCCTCCTTTCCTTAAGACTGAAAAAAATCCACTGATGGAGCAGCCATAAAGGCAAGCCAATGATAATGGAAAAATACCACACAAAAAAGGTTAACTGCTTATCTGGGGGGCCAGGATATCCTTGATATACTTGGCTCAGAGCCTGCGATAAATACAGACCAAAGAAAACACACTAACAAACCAGCCTTCTGAGAAAGCAGAAGGCAACACCTAAAGTTCCCGGAAGTTCCAGCTATTTACACTGCTTGCACCCATTTATGTATCTACACCAAAAGTATAAATGCAGATTTTCAACCAAAGCGCTCCTCTGTGGGTGAGATCTTCCGTAAGGACAGGACCTGTCTGACGCTGGGCTCTGTGGCACGGATCATCTTTGAAGTGAGACCTTTCTGACATTGGGTGGCTCCAGCCCAGGCTTTGTTTGGTGAGTGCCATACCGGTAACACCTCAAGCAGTATATGTATGGTATATGTAGAGATGTGGAGAGATTGCAGGAGCTGAGCCTGTTTAGTCTGGAGAAGAGGAGGCTGAGGGGGGATTTTATTAGTGCATAGAAATACCTCAAAGGCCAGGAGGATGGTGCCAGACTCTTTTCAGTGGTGCCCAGTGACAGGACTAGAAACAATGGTGTTGGGGGTTCAGCTGCCCAGGAGCAGGGGGGAAGAAGGGGAGAGTGAGCAAGTGGCTATGTGGTTCTGAATGACCAGCTGGGGTGTTCAACCTGTATCAGGAAGCTCCCGTTTTCCCCTTTGGAAGCAGAATGTTGGAAACATGAAAGAGCTTTTTTATATATGTTATAAAATCAGTCTGAGTCAGGTCAGCAGTGACAGATAGAGGTTGTGTAGCTGTCCAGGCTAATGATAGTCTTTGGATATACGCAATATTCATAAATTCTTTTGACATCCAACAGTTCCTTGTTCATATACCGGTATTCCATGGAAGTTGCAGCACTACTGACAGTATTGACAATGTGTAGCATCAATCATTGATCCTAGGTGATGACTAGGATGGTGCAATATATAAAATACAAAATTACTCAGTCCTTTTAAGCACTCGAGTTGAGGGATTTTTGTTATTTTACCTTGGAAAAGGGCAGTAGGGAAATAACTTCAGCTCCTTTTTAGTTTGAAAGTTATTCTGAGCTAAGACATTGCTGTGCATTCCATTTTCACTAGGTTTCCAGGATTAAAAGACAGACATCTCAATGGCTGCCAAGGTATGCTCTTTCTACTCTGGGTTTCCCCTCTATCTCC